CCTGCAGCTTCTTCCAAGCATGGTGAAGGGTTTGATCCATCTAATGTTTTAATTTAATGTTCTGACTTTCTGACTCTGCATTAACTGGAGGCTGGCCCAGGGCTTCAAAGTTTTACGGAGGAATGATATATTACTGTGGATTCCTTTTGCAATTTGGGCCTCCCATGGTTTTGCCTTGAAAATGAGTAACCATCCTCTTTCTTTGGCTCCACTGGCCAGGATGACCTTTGAAGACTGGTGCAAAAATTTCACTGACGTTGACATCTGTCGGCTTGTGAACACCTCCTTCTTTAGCATCCACAAAACCTGGGACAAGAAGATCATGTGTGGAGCCTGGAGAAAGAATCCAGACCCCCTTTTAAACCACGCTGGTGGATGCTTCAATAACAGAGCCACTTTCCTGCAAAACCCTCAGGTTGGAGAGCATTTATTCTTGCATTTCCCACGTTAATGGGAAACAATAAGTGTGTGCTGTGAATGACTCCTGAATAGGGGTCCCAGTTCTGGTTTGAAAAATTCCTGGAGATTTGGGGTTGGAACCTGGGGAGGGTGGGGTTTGGGGAAGGGTGGGGCCTTATTAGGGATGTGAGGCCACAAAGTCTGCCCTCCAAAGCAGCCATTTTCTCTATGGGAACTGATCTCTTTCACCTGGAGACCAGTTGTGACTCCAGGAGGTCTCTAGGCCCCACCTGGAGAATGGCTAGGCTTGCCAAGTCCCCCCGGGGGGCAGAGAAACCACCGCCCCGAGGCCCGTTCCACGCCGCTGGCAGATCGGGCCCTGGGGGGAATCCCACCCCCAAAGCACGCAACGTGCACGTCACCCGGAAGTGACGCGACTATGCCAGGCACACTATCCGAGGGAAAACTCTATGTGGTCGTGTCACTTCCGGGTGATGGGGTTGTGGCGCGCATGCGCAAAGCCTGTCCACGAGCACTCCCGGAACAGCGCTGGAGTCCCCCACTCCAGCGCCGATCCGACTTGGGAACCCTAAGAATGGCACCCCTTCTCCTGAACACAAACGACATGGTTATACCCAGTTCTGATTTCCCTAATACAGTACTTATTTAGAACAGTTTTGTCACTCCGAGGGAACTTCTCTGGAAAAACTGTTCTTTGGACTATTCCCTACA